TGACTCAACACGGCACACCAAAATGTTATTCCCCTCAAAAACGTATGATATGATACTATTAATAGAATTACATAATGCCACTAACCTATTATTATTGTTATTAAACAGATACCAACACCTGTGAGCAAATTTTCTTTACATATAATTTATTAGAATACATAAAAATGGGTGGCTTGTAATAAAGAATAAACAAACATCATCTTATTTCATCAGTGCTGCAGCAGAGAATGAAATACATACAAAAGATAACATAAGAAACACAACAACATACATACATAAGAACATACAACATACATACATAAGAAACACAACTGTGATAAAAATATATAAATAAAATTTGAAATTAACAGAATATGTAAAAGTTCACATCACATCTTTCACCATGTGACGGCACACCGGTTGCGGAACACTGACCTAGAGGCTCTCTATTAAAATTCAGATTATTTCTATATTTTGTTAATGTAAAAAATATTTAAAGTGAGGTTTGTTTTAAGAACTTTATTATTGAAGTAGGATAAAAAATTCATATATTAATATTAATTCTAAAATCAACACATTACAGCTTATGCAGAAAAACTACAAATGTGTTATTACTAATTATCACTATCTTTAAATGATATTTAAATTTTAAATATCTTCAATACAGCAAAAAAATTTTTAAAGATTTCTTTTGTAATAATTTATTTTAAGTGACTGACAGATCTAATACTGTGTACTATTATGTAGAATTCTAGGTTGTTCTAGATATTATTATTACTTTTAGTATACTTACCAGTTGTGGTTGGCTGAGTAATTTGTGAATCTGTAGTTGGAGTTGGAGGAGCCACTTTAGAAGGTCCACCTTGAACACTTAAAAGTTTGTAAAAGGTTATTTATAAAATTAAAAAAATGTTTATAATAAGTAAATATAAAAATATTTTTATAATGTATTCTTTCTTTAACAATGAATAAAATTGGAATATTTAACACAGAAAGAGAGAGAGTTTATTATCTATTTATAAAAATGAGTAAAAAACCAATGTAAATTTGGGTTAAGTTAAAAGAGGAAAAATATATTTTCTCGAGATAAATAATATGTTATGAAGAATATGGTATCAATAGATGCATAGAAAATACAATTTCTATCAGTCTATATTATATTATTGTTGGAAGAACTGTAATATATCATACAGTTTTTGCTTAGAAACTCTATTATATTCATATAACTTTTACTATAAAATGTACTAGAAAATTTCATTAGATATCAACAATTACAGCACAAGTTTGGAGAAAAATTATTAATAAACAAGAGAGATAGATACTATTAGCAAAAATAGAATGTCCAAGATTAAGAGAACATCTTGACTTATGATATCTTTAAATTAAAATTAGTAGCTGATTTTACTACCATCTTTGAAAACATGCTGAAAAATAAAATTTGATTGCAATTTTTGATTAATTCAATGTCTTTCTTGTGGAATATTTTCCCATATTTCCATGAGAACAGCCTTTAGTTCAGTGACAGTCCTTTATTGCTTTCCACTGCTATACATTTGGAAAACTAAGTCACCCCAAAAATTTTCAATTGAATTTAAATCTGCACTGAAGGGTGGTCAGTCCAAAAGTCAAACATTCTTGCTCTGAAAAAGGATAACATTGATTTTGATACATGGAAGCTTATATTATCCTGCATGAATTCAAAGTCCTCTCCATCAATTTTCTGTCCATAAGTTTGGAGCTACCTCCAGACAAGCTCCATATATGTTTGAGAGTTATTTCGACCTTTAATAAGTACTAGATCTGTCTTTCCATTCCATCCAATCTCTGCCCAAGTGATGAGTGTACCATCACCAGCTACTCTCTTTGAATACTGCTTTTGATCTAGTCTTTTGTCTGCCCAATAATACTTAAAACTATCAGGTCTATCAAGATTCCACTTTTTCTCATTTGAGAAAATTACTTTCTGCCTTCCTTCCCATCTTTCAAACTTGTCTCTGGCAAACTGTAAAAGTTGTTTTTGTTTCTCCTTGAGCTGGTTGTCTCTCTTCTTTTTGATGAAAGAAACATTGTCTGTTGATCTCAAAATATTGTGCATTGTTGATTAACTGCAGCTCAGCTTCAATTCATTTTTGATTTTTTGAAAGGATGTGTTTCCTTGCAGTGCACATCAAACAATTGCACATTGTTCTCCAGGTGTTGTTGAATTCTTGCACCCACTGTTTCATTTTCCTGTTCATTGCTCCTTATTGAGATACTTTGAGATTGCTAAAAATTTGGAAAGACTTCATTCAGCAATCAAAAGTTACTTTTCTCCCTTCCTGGTGAAACACATCAATTTTGATCATCCTCTACAGTTAGATCCTTCCCACATCCCATTTTTAATAGTAAGATACTATGCAATTTACTAAGCCTTTCTTTTCACTTCTTGTTTGTATTTTTATGCAAATTTTATGGAGTCCAATCATTACTTTCTTTGTAATTAATTTTAATCAGCACATGTTCTATTAATGTTGGACATCCTATTTTTGACGACAATATCTAACTCTTTTGTTTATTAATCATTTTTCTCCAAACTCATGCAATAATTGTTGATATTTTGCTATCAAAAAAATTTCAACAAAGTTACATAAAAATAGTAGAGAGTTTCTAGGCAATCACTGTATGTTCTATTATTGTTGGAAGGACTGTATGATGTTTAATAATGTAACAAACTAGTTTAAATTTAGAAATTATTCTCTGAATTTTACATCAAATAATTTACTGTGCCTGCTTCCATAGTTTAAGTTTCAAGCTAAATGAAGGCAATTTATGCATGCAGTAGAAGATATAGATATTATCAAATCTTTAAGCAAATGATGTATCCTTCATTTAGCTTCTTGTTTGGTATATTGTATTAAAATGTTATTTTAGCAACCTGTTATTTTGTAAGTTTGGCAAAACATCATTAAAAGAAAAGTGTTATAAGTATCCTTAACAAAATGCATTTTGGACTTGTATCATCCCTTTTCAGTTGTTAAAATTAAACTGTATAAAACAAAGGTACAAATAAATATTACCTGACTTTTTAACAATTTCAAATTATGCCATTAAAGTATATACATTAAGATATTATTTACTTTTGGAGTACATTCCAGATTATTAAATACATATTTACAATCTGAAACTTCAAAAAATAACATTAAAACCAATGAAACACAAACCATGAAACAAGAAGCACATATGCTTTAATTGATTGTTCCATTACTAGTTTCTGTTAATCTACTAAGCTTAAATTTTTGGTTTTTTTTATCCATATACAGGTTTTTATAATATTAAAATTTGGAAATTAAACTTAATATATTATTTGATTATTTAACACAGATTGATATCAGTAAAAAAGAACTGGAAGGGTTTATCAAAACCTGAAATGCATTTCCAAATACAGCAATAAAGCCTATATCAATGAAAGTTTCTTCCTGTGTAATTTAAGTTACTAATAAAAGCCAAAATTTAGGCTTAGTAAATTAAAAGAAGCACATACATTCACTACATGCTTTACTCATAATTTTAAGTATGTTTCAACTTGTTTTACTGATAACATTACATAAGAATACAATAAATTTGTAGTAATTTCTCAAAAAGTGAAAAATTATTCCAAATATATCAAAAATGTTTATTTTTAAAATATTAACTAAAAGTTTTAAGAAAATATTGAGTTAATTCAATGTAATAATATGAGACACAACAGCATTTCTAAAAGTGTGGTCCATAATATTTTATGTTAAAAATTATTTCAAATAAATTATTAATAAATGAATAAACAGAAAAGTATGAAAACTTAATAATGAGGCATAATAATGTTAAAATTTTAATAATATTAAAAAATTATGTACATACTTAGAAGATAACTTCATTAATGCTCTAGCTGATGCATTCATCTGAAAACATTAAAAATATTGTTAAAATTTTTAACTCTTAACAGATTAAAAATAAATAAAAATATTCTTCTAATGCAGAAAAACTTTTAAATGATAACTATTATGTAATAGTTATGCTTAAATTAGCATGGAATGTTTTAAAAGCAGAAGCTGTTGATTAAATAAACCTCAGTGATAAAACTCAAGATAACATATTTTTAAGTTTAGTTTTATGAAATTTGTTGTCAAGAAAATAATAATTAATTAATTATATATACTGTAAATTAAAATCTTATAACTATTCATTTTTCTTATACAAGACAATGTAAATAAATAATTAAATAAAATTTTATTTATTCATGTTTATGTTTTAAATGTATTTATTGTAATCTGTTGTATTAAAGTCATAATATTAATTTTCTTTTTGACAAGACTGTCTTGTTTATAAAATTTGCCTTCTGTGTTACCAGCTTAGAAGTATGAAGGATTACATGTCAGGAGTTGCAATTTGGCACAGAGTATTAGGTGACCAAATCATGCACACATAAAAAACCAGACTTGTAGGTACTCAGGGGACCGAAAACAGAGTCAAAATAAAATACAAAATGGCGACTCTCTCTACAAATAGACAAACCAAAGTCAGGTGGTGAGACTACCACCCACAATCATTCTAGGAAGTGGACTCTGACCCTAGTACTAAATAAGTAGTATTTTTTTTGTTAAATAAAATTTGTAATCTAATTTTATAAATTTGGGAGTGCTTCAAATATGACATTAAAACAGGGTTTTATGTCGTTACAAGTAGGTTTTTTAACATTATCTAGTATAGTAAAATCGTGGGACCGATAAAAATGTGACGTTATATTAGGATTGTCATTACCTCAGATGACGTTATAATCAGATTAAACTGTATATTGTTTGTGCAAAATAAAAAAATAATTTTGGACTATACAATAGCCACGATTATTTTTTTCAAAAACAGGAACTTTTCGTTACGCATCGACAAAAATTCAACCCGGCAGACACGCAACGGAGCGAAATTTCGAAATTGGATAAATTAATTTCATCAAAAATGCATCATGGACGACCTTATGGTTGTGACCAGTGAAGTTTGAATGATCGCGCCCAAAAGCAGTGATACCAAAGAAGATTGGAGAATGAGAACGAGACCTGCCTTGAGCATCATTCTGCTGTTTTAATTGTTAAATATATAATAGATTTTACAGTAATGAAACAAAACAGATTCTAATATAAATGTAAAAGGAAAAAAAAAATGCAGAATTGTGTGTCAAAATTATGCCTGATTACAAATTTTAAAATACAAATAAGTTATTCATTTATAGAAAATTTTAATTAAAAAAAAAAACTAGTTATTTCTGATGATCAAGTGGCCTAATTATAAATATGGTTGAATAAGACAGATTTTATTTGATTTTACTTGAATTTACTAAGTAAATCAAAAGTGTAATAAATGTCCATTTATTCAATCAGTATAATTACACTATTAATGAAAGTCAGTTTTTTGTTAATACAAAAACCTTTTTGAAACACATACTTACTAAAACTGCTATTTTGTTATCAGTACTCTGATCAGAGAATAGCAGTTCAATAAATATAATTCAATGAACAATGAACACTTTACTGTATTAATATTTAATTATATTAGCCCATGATCACAGGGTAGCAGCAGAAATTATCATAGCAGAAGTTTTTCTGCTATAATAAGCAGAAAAATTTTTTCTGCTTATCATAGCAGAATTTTCAAATTATTATTATTATTATTATATCATCATCAGAATTTTAACAGAAAAATATTTTAAAAAGTACAAGAAATTTTGAAATGGAACATATATAAACTTCAATTTTCCCTACCAGTTTGTCAAGTATTTAATTAAGATCATAATTGATAATGCTAAGTAATAAATATTTTAAATATCAATTCTAAATGCAAATAAATCGCTTGACCCAAATTTAAAATTATTTTCAAGATTTCCACATTAAAAACCTAGTTTTGAAAATTAAATTTTAATAAATGAATTTAAAATTTATCTTTTCAAATAATTTTGATTATTAACAAATAAACTGACCTCAACAAAAGAAATAGGATAAATTCCAATTCTTTCTCCCAGTTTACCTTCAACCCAATTATCATCCACTCTTCGTATTACTGTGATTATATCTCCCTTCAAAATAAATAGAAAAAACAATTTATTGTTATTTTTAAATTAATGTTAAAAATGAGTAAATAAACACTAGATTAGCTATTTTGTTCTTATCATTTAATCATAGAAAACCAAGCAATACAACCAGATAATTTGGCTGTATCATTTGATTTTAACCATTTAAAATCAGTATCTATAATTAATTCATTAAATCTTATTTGTTTATAATAAATTTAGTTTTACAGTTTTGTATAATATACTTTAATAAGATAAAGCCAAACTTCTCTAAAAGTAACCAAAAATACAGTATTAAGTTTTAAAAATATTTTTCTCAATATCAAAAACAACTTTACATATTACAGAATTTATTTTCATTTAAATGCTCCAAAACTCTATTTTTAGAATTAATATACAGTCAACCCTCATTAGTATGCCCCTTCATTAGAGTGTCACCTTCATTTACTGCCATATATTTATGAAGAACAAACCTTTTCTATGAAGTATATATTAAAAAACCCCATTACTATGCCAACTCACTTAATGCCAGCAAAAATTTTTGGAATCCCTTTCCCCTAAACAGTTTTGTAATGAATTATTCTGGTAGAATGTTGGGTGTGTTTCACCCACAATAGATAGCAATGAGTTTTGACTTTTTACTTTGAAATCTGTTGCTCTTTCATAGTATTCTACTCTACTGTATTGTTAACTTGCTGTAATCTACTGTTGTGTGAGTGTCCTCAATATGAGTAAACAAGCAGTCACTTCAATTATAGAAAAAAATGAAATCTGTTTAAAAAAAGAGAAATTTCCAAATACTAGTCAACAATAAAGAATAGCAGAACACTTTCTTTTTTGTGGAAGAAAACAATCAGTCACAAATACATTGCACACAACTTGGAAGAAAAACAAAGTGGCTGCAAGTGTCTTCCTCTAAGGCATTGCGACTTAGATCTGTTAAACATGAGAATTTTGAAGATATCCTAGTAATGTGAATTAGCCAAGTTAATGCCAAACATGGAATTTTAACAGACACTGTAATTATAGAAAAAGCAAACGAATTTGGAAAACTGATGAGAATTACAGACTTCCAATACAGCAAGGGTTGGTTTGCATGATTCAAGCAGTCATGGAATTTCACAGCATATCAGACAAGGTGAAACAGCCAAAGTGGATGACCAAGTTGTATGAGGTGCTTGTGAAACATTGTCTGACATGATTGGACAGTACGAGTTGCAAAATGTTTATAATATGGATGAAAGTGGATTGTATTAGTGCATGCTAGACAAGACAATTTCTTGTAACAATCTGAAATTGCTGGAGCCATACACGGTTAATTCCATTAGTATATAGTCCATCACAGCAAAAACATATGGTAGAAGTTTCAAGAGATTTCTTTGTCTCAAAATAAATATTAAATGTTTCTTCATCTGAAAATAAGTATGTTTTGTATTTACTTGTAGTGTGTGTACATTTTACTCCTTCACTTTAACTCTTATTTCAGCTGTAGAAGTGTATTTACATGTTAAACTGAATTTTCTCTTCTTCAACAGTACACATTTTTCTAATTTCAAAATAATGCCACTCTCATATAGTGCCAAAAAAAAGAGAACAGACAGTGGCATACTAATGAGGGTTGACTGTAGTTTAAATTGTTAAAATTATAATATTTTCTATTGTAACAGATTTTTTAAAATGCATGCAAATAAGGATATTGCAACAATAAAAATAAAAATGTGTATTAAACTCAAATGCTAAACTGCATTTTTCTGCACTTAGTAGTAATAGTATCAAAAATATTTAGCAAAATATAATTTGGTGCTTACATTGCTTTACAATACAATATAAATTTTTATCTGAAATATTTATAAATGAAATCAAATAAATACAGTAGTCTCTGTAGTAAATCTGCCAGTCTGACACACTCAGTAATCCAACACTCCACAGGATGGTGCACATGAAATTTTTATGTTATGTGTATGATAAAGACTGATGTATGTGTATGTACATATATATATACACACACCTACATCATATATGCATACCTACATTTTTTAACTCTTTCCACCCTGTGGGCACTAAGAGGGCCTTTGTCAGCAAGCCCATTATGGGTTCAGCCAGGCCCACAATGAGGAGAGGTGGTGAGGGATGGGGCCGACACATCTGGTCGGATTCTATCCGGGCTCAATCCCAGGTCCCCTAGAGCGGTAGGCAGTCACCTTGACCACTCGGCCATCTGGCTATCATATAGGTGTATACTGTCAGTCACCAGTTGTTTACTGCATGCACAATCAGTAAAGCAGTCACAATCATGATTAATATGATAAATTAACCAGTAAACCAAGTGTGTTTTTTATTGTACAGTACACATACAAAATCCAGTAATCCAATAATCTGCTGTAATCTGTTTCCTGCCAGTCCAATATATGTCAGATTATAGAGACTCTACTGTAATAATTAAAACTTAATTTACAAATCCTTCATATTAAGGTTATGAATCCATATAAAAAAAAATTGAAATTTAGTATACCACAACTACTTTTGTATTTATTAAAAATTATAGATAATGTAATGATATTACTTAAAAATACTAACAACCAATCATTGTGTAATTTCCAAATTCACTAAATAAAAAATAAGAATTCAATTTATACTTACTTTAGAAAAAGAAAGACAGTCTTTTTCTTCACTGTCTGTAATACAAAAATCATATAGTGCTTTGCACTGTGGAAGATGTGGGGGGAGAGGGACCATCACTTGGATGTAACTTGCTGGCATAAAACCTCCTTTACCATTTAATTCTCCTTGGTACCAATTTTGATCTATTCTTTTTTTCAATATTATAATATCTCCTTTGTTAAAGGAAAGATCTCTATAAAATATAATAAGTTAAAGTATTCACTTTATTAATATTTAGATAAGTTTATTTCTACATATATTTAAGTTACCTTATAGTACTAAATTAATTAGAAGATATTATCACTTAAAATCAAGTAAAATCATTTCTTTAGAAAACATTTATATAGCTTTAAAAAATTATTCAATACATTCCATATTAAAAATAATGTAAAAAAATCAAAACTAACTAACATTTGAATATAATAATTTTAATAAAGCATATATAAAAATCACATATTAATTTTGAATATATGATTTATTATATAATATGTGATGATTTACTAAATAACATTTTAAAAAGTTAAATATATATCTTTGTGATCTAATTTCTTTAAAAAAAATTCATTACACAAATATAAATATTTTCTAAATTATTATTATTGTTAATCATGAATATTTCATACATTAATATTATTCTTGTCTAAGATTCATAGTATTCCTGTTCCTTCACTTTAGCTACACTTCTTAAGTTAGGACAATTGCAAGAGATCACTAGAGAAGGCATTTGTCTGATTTCACAAAGTTTGATATGTAACATAGCACAATCCTTCATTCTCAGTAAAGCAACTATCAAGCATTCATGAGAAAAAGTAAATTTAAATTCTTTCATGTTTCTTATGTACTGTGTTATATGGATAATATATTAACAGTTGAATGGTCACATGGATAAGGTTTTGACTACTATATTGTATGTTGCAGGTTCAAATCTTGCTGTATTTTTTATAAATTTTCTCTGATATGCACAGAAATGGATTGTTAGTGCAATGTATTTTTTTATTATTTTTATCAAAGAAAAACAAGTATTTTGTAATTATAACATTTATTTGCTATGCAATAAAAAATTTCAAATATGTTTTTGTGATAATAAATTACATTTTGGCTATTACTTATTATTAATTATTTTTGGCTCTAATCAATTAAATCTGGTTAGATAACATTGATAAATTAATTCTCAAGCATTGGAATTACATTCAGCAAACTAAATATTTGGATAAAACATTAGTCAGGAAATAGACTTTTTAGTTCTAAACATTTTCTTCTAATTTTACACATTTATAATTATAATGTTTATATTAAAAACTGCAAACAATGATCTAATTCTAAATATGTTTCTGTTACTTCTTGTTATGGAAGACAAACACTACTAATCTGCTTAATTAGAAACATTTTTGACCTCATTAGATCAGTTTTAGCCAATAACAGTTGTAAACTTCTACAACAGCTCATACTGAACACACAGAGTAGAATTCAATATCAGCTGTTCTAAGAGAAATTAAATAGAGAGAGGCTCTTCGAGAAATATAAAAACAGAGAATTTTCAAGAAACAGAATATAATAAATTATATTAATTCAAGAATATAATAAATTATTGTTATAATTATTAAATCTAATACAAGATAGCAGCCTAACTGCCTATTTCTAGACAAATTATTTAATATTTAATTAATTATATAGCCATATTATAGCCTGATAATTTGGCAGTTTATTTGGCATTACATAATGTCAAAATGATACACCAACAACTGCCGTAAATCATCGGCTACAATTTAGAAATAATAATTAAAAATTACAAATGAAATTCCTCTAAGTGTCAAATTCATTTATAATTTATAATTATTATTTTCCAAATTATAGCCCAATGATTTACAGCAGTTGTTGATGTATCATTGCAAAGCATCAGATTTCAGTATAGATGTTTTTATTAACATTTTTTTTAACATTATAAATAAACAGTCAGTTGTAAGAGAAGTAGTAGTAAACTAGTAGTAAGTGAAAAAAAGGAAGCAATTTAAAACAGTGGAGCAAATTAATAATTAACATCTTAAGAAAATAGGCTCAAAAGCAACCATTTAGTTGCAATGATATTCTAAGTTGATCCAATACTTTCATATTCTAAGAAGAATTACAGTTTCACAGCCTAGGAAACATCAAATATTTTATTTTATTCTTTGATATTAGAGTTTTCTGATAATAAATGTTGCTTCTTAATGATCACATTTCATTTTCTGTAAGAAGTTTGCTTCTGTTTAAACATTTTGTGTCATTAAATCAGCAAGTCAGTATAATTTTGTAAATATAGAAAATGCCTATAAGCGAACTTGCATTATTTTACAAAAACACAATGTTATACAATATGTAGTTTTTGCTTTATTTAGTACAGTACTTTAAAAATTTCATATAAAGTGGTGTCTTATACTTCAAATTTAATTCATTCCAGAGGGTGTTTGAATGCCAAATATTTGACGTCCAAATCAGTTTTTCCTATTAGAAATAATGGAAAGTGAATTAACACTTCAAGAGCATTTTTTCCACTGTGTGCACAATTCAAATCTTGAAGCATCATTCAAACTCCAAAGCAAACTTTTGTTAAATTTAGCATTCAAAGTACAAGATAAAAGTCCTAAATTCCTGATAAAATGTCTATTTCAGGCTTTAACCAAGAGATACTAGAAAATGTCTTGGATTTACCAATTGGCTTGAATGAAAAAAGTATTCATATATATCTGTTGTTTTGTAATATACTTAAAAAATGTAAATTAAGATGATGAAAGTATCATTGTAATGATTTTACTTTGATTTCTTAAAATAAATTTGGCACGAAATAAGTAGTGTAGACAAATAAGTTGTCTAATATGATTTTTTTGTTTACATAAGTTTTGCTTTTAATGCAGCAGAATGAGTGATGTAACACAGCAGGTTTTATGAACTTTTAACTGAATTAGTGAATAAGAAGAAAGACAACAATTCTTACTACACAGTGTTATATTGTTCATTAGTTAAGTGAAGTGAAAGATGCAAAAAATTTGCCTAGTAAAAAATCTGTTCAGTTTAGATGTCAAGAACATCATACCTCTTCAAACATCAAAGGTGAATAAAAACTAATAGCATCAGTCTATATTTGTTTTGATGAACTGTTTGTATTGATATACCAGGATCGTTGAAAAAAATTTAATCTCTGAGCATTGAAATCAAATGGCTGAGNATTTTAAAGTATTTAAAAAAATCAATGTTTAAACTATTCATAATAATTTAACTAAACATAAAAACATAACTGGTTGATCTTAACAAAAACTTATATTTTTATATAAAAATTGTATAAAGTTTCTTTTTTATATAATTATTTCTTTTTTCAAATTTGAATTAATGAAATTTTAAGATATTTTTATTAAAAAGTTATATTTTCTTTAAAATATTTATTAATGTTTTCAAAGAATTTGAGTAACATTCAATCTCCATCAATTTTCTTTACTTGTTCAATTTCAATGCAAATTTTTCAAGATATTATTTATCTTTTTTCTATCTGTTACTTTCATTTATATTTTAGACTATGCATACTTGTATTTGATGTTACAGTCATCCTCACAATATACAAAACTTTCCAAATCTTTTAAATTTATAGTTTTAATTACAAAAACGCAATAAATAATCATCTATAAAATTGTTAAAACACCACAGAAAGTATGCAATAATGAAATGATTCTGTAATTTCTTGTCCACCTTGGATATAACACAGTCTTATGATAGAATCAAACAAGATAAAAAATAAGACTGTTTCTTCAATTTCTTTTATGAATTTTTAAAATGTAATTGTCATCCTGGCTATTTTATTAATAACTGAATATTTTAAACTTTACTATATATTTGTTTTGTTACCTTCTATTTAAAAAAACTGCCATAATTTTAACTTTAAAATAAAATACTAAAATGGAATAAGAAAAAATGTATACATAAAGAGCAATTATTTATTGTGACATCCTCACAATGCCGGGCTGCAATTTTAAATCATATTCTTAATTTATTTGACTTAAAATATACGTTATCCATCTCAAATTTGTAGTGTCTTGCTCCTGTATATCATACTTTTCTTGACAATAACAGAGTCATGCCTGTCATCTATGAAACTCCATTCAAGGGAAAATATTTGAATTGAATTTATGTAATTTCCTGTTTAGATCAGAAGTTCGTATATAGTTAATTGGGGCCGCCTGACCATAAGCTTTCCATATCTGGTCTTGATTTTCATCTATCTAACACTGTTCTCAAGTTTAAGGACAGACAGGTATGAGTGAAAATTTATAGGTCTACAATTTTTTCAAATTGCAGCCCAACAATCCAAATAATTAAATCAATTATTTAGGAAATAAAATGACAAATAGTGAAATTATGTGCAAGGATCTGGATTCTTACAATTAACAAAAAATTATAATGAGATCCTCAATTTCCTTCATTAATAACATTCCTAAAGTTCATAATAAACAAAGTCTTCATGTATTGTCATTAAAATGACAAAAGTAAGAAACATCAAATTCTTGTGCAATTCAACGAATTTCACCAATCCAAGCTATTGGTATGTCATCTGGCTTCAGATGATGTATCAATAGTGTTCAATCCTCAAGGCAAATCAGCAATTCAAACAAAGATTAGGTCAGAAAAGTGTCTTCAGACTGAAAATTTCAGGTCAAAGTATTCTGTAGATTTTGTCACTCCCAAAAAGATAGATAGAAATGTGGATATGAACACTTCTATCAAGAAGATTAAGAAGCAGAGACCCAAGTAACATTACCAAGGTGCCTCATGCTGCAAGTCTCTCTCAGTCTATCTTTCTCTAACTGCAAACTGCAAATGTGTAAACTTTTGCAGTTTGTTACTGTTTGTGTTTACTGTAACCTAAAATGATTATCAACATTGGAATCATTTGTTTATTTTATATAATGTAGATGAATCATCCTTTGTCTACGCTTGTGCAACACATCTCATTTAACCAAACAGAAACTAAACACCTGTGAACTGAAAAACTAAGAAAAACAAATCTAAAAACTGTTCTCCATTGAAATGCAAATCCCAAAACACTGCAGATGTAAAATGTCAGAAAATAAAACTTTATTTATATATATATATATATAACTGCATAAAACATTTTTTGTTTGTTCCTTTATATAATACAGGAGAGCCTCGAAAACTTGGTACTCGATAACACGGCACTCCGGATAACTCGGCCACACCCTGGCAGGGCAAAAAAAATCCTTAGTTAATTAATTTTCATTATAGACAGCTTTATGCCTCATAAAGTATTTTTCTGGGGTCTGTCTTATCAGGTAAATTACTGTACACAGTGTATTCATTAAGTTTCATTTTCATGTAGTAAAGGCTGTATGCCTTCATTAAGGACGTACTTTTCCTTTGTTTAAGGGTATTTGGGCAGTTTATTCTCTGTTGTATTCTCAAGTAAACAATACATACAAGTACAGTACAGTATTTTCTGAGGAAACACTTATACTTATCCTTTTTTAACCCCATTCCCGATAATCTGGCATTTTCACAAACTCGGCCACCCTTCGGTCCACATTAGGCCGAGTTTTCGAGGCTCTACTGTATAATCAAATTCTAACTCGTTAAATTAATGAATTTAAAAAGTTGGTATTTTCAGTTGTTTCATAACAATGTTTCAAATCTTTAATTCCTCCTTTAAAACACAAAAATAGTGTATCCAAAAACAATTGAATAAACGATGTGAATGGTCAAATATCTTATATTTGTCAAAATGCATTTCAAGCACATATTACTCTTCATCAGTTGACACTATAAGGATAAATTTGTTATTTTATCACAAAGTTTGCCTTTAATAAGTTAAATTAAAAATACCTGTAAAGTGATGTACAAGATCTTATAACTCATTCTGACATAAGTATAGAAGGAAACAGTAACCACTAGCATTTTATTTTACAATAAATGAGTTTAAAAATCCAATAATACTTATAAACAGACTGGTAATAAATATAAATAATTATATGTAAATGTATGTTTTATAATTAATATAATTTTTTACATTTTATATTTGCATATACACATTATAATTTTTATATTTTGTATTTATTATAATTATAATACAGTGGTATCTCGGTATATGTCTGCTTTAGAATACATCAAATTCGGAATACATCCTGTTTGGACAAAACAAATTTTGCTCGTTATACGACTTAATTATACGCGCCGTCTATGAACAAGTAGCACTATCGGTGTACTAGACCAGACTAGATGTTTGCGGTGCCACAGTTTATAACTTTGTTAAATTTCTTTTTATTTTAATTTGTAAGTAAAATTTTATTATTTTTATTAATCATGAATTGCAAAATGGTAACAGAAAAATAAAAAAATGACTAGAACCACAATGGAACTGAAAAAAGAGATTGTTGAGAAATATGAAGGTGGCATGTGTGTTTGAGATTTAACTGTTGCATACCGTATTCCGAGAATGACAATATCGACAATCGCGAAAAATAAAGCCATTATTAAATCTGCTAATGTTGTGAAAGGGGTTAAATCAATTTCTAAACAGCGATCAAAGACATTAGATAATGTTGAGAAATTGCTTTAGCTTTGGATAACTGAAAAACAGTGTGCTGGCAACAGCATATCATAAGCAATTATTTGCAAGAAAGCTAAAAAGATACATGCTGATCTCACGAAAAATCAAGCAGGAACTAGCCAGGAAAGCGAGGTGTTTAAAACCAGCCATTTTTTTTACATGAGAACGGATTAATCATTTTTACATTACTTCTTATGGGAAAGGTTGGTTTGGTCTATGTCCTATTCAGTATAAGTCCAAACATCAGGAACAGATTAAGGTCATATTCCGAGGTTCCACTGTATATTTTATATTTATAATTATAATATATAAATTTATTACCAGTCTTAACAATATGCAAATAGACATAGAATATTATATTAGATATATGAGAAGAGACTAAATAAGCTTCTTACACAAAAGATAGCTTACCTGTTTTGGCATTGTTCTTCCTTCTCCAGCTACAGTAGATATCAGTGGCCTTGTTATTGGCGGATGTAATACTGGTGGTAAAATTTGAGAATTTCGAGGTAGATCTTGTCTTCTCTTAGGTAATTCACTACCACTAAAATTTGCATTTCGAAGGCGAGGATTATTTTTTATTCCTTCCAGCAACCTTATTAAAAGTATATTGCACGGTAAATCATCCACATTTGTTTCAACTAACACTCGGCATTCTGGACAACGGAGTTCTTTATGAGAATTCACAATTTCTTCTAAACAACGTTTGCAAAATGTATGCTGACAGGGTAGCACTTTACTACTGCTGTCTAACTGTTCAAGGCATACTGAACATTCTAACAAATCATTCAGAAAAGATTCATCCATTTTTTTCTTCTTTATAAGTTAAAATAAACTATTCTGTGAAACTTCAAACACAGACTTAATATTTAAAAAACCTGTATTAAAAAAAAATTTATTTATTAGAAAAGTAGCAGTTGATAAACTTTTTAATATTATAATATTAATTAATATTATACACACATATAATAGTAAACATTTATTAATAAGTATTAACTGACATTTACGTAAACATACTTTTCTGTCTACAATGGTGTTCAAAAGCATAATGACTATCACCCAATATATCAAACTATAAGTTAGAATGATATGAAAATTGGCATGTTTGTAAAATATATCTACTATAAACAAACAAAATGATTAATTTGCATTAATTTCAATTGTAATTATAAAAATAAAATCCAAACAGTCATTCAGATGTTGTACAGTACATTTACAAGCATATCATGCATTAATACAGAGTGAAGAAAATTCTTGCAACCACATATCATTTCACACCAATTTGTCAATTATAAGAATGCTTATCATGACTATCAGCAACAAGTCCAATGTTCAAGAAAAATAGTAAATAACTCTGTTTCTGAGTTTAGACTGTCATAATGCAATTCATCTCCTAAAGCATCTCACAGATGCTCCATCAGATTCAGATCTGAAAATCTTGCTGACCACTTCATAAGCTGAATATCTTCACTTTCAAAAAAGTCAATCATCAGTTGAGTCCTAAGTGTATGTGTATCATCATCTATGAATGTGAAGTCAAACCCAAAGGGTCTCTTAAAAATTTTCACATTGGCTTCCAGGAAGTTTTCTCTGTTAATTAATGATACCTCTGACAAAGATGTAAAGCTTTATAAATCTGTTGAACATAATGCCTCCCCATATCCTGGTACTACTGCCTCAAAATTGTTCTTTCTTTCTAATCATGTATTGAACATTTTTTGATGTGTTTCCTGCCCTCTTCAGATTGTAATCTGATGAGAATCAGTCTATAAACTGAATCTTGATTCATCATGGTCTTCCTCAAGGTGATCCTTGGTCACTATATTTGTTTAACTTTTATCTATTTGATTTTAATAATTGTTTTGAAAGAGAGGATGATGGATTCCTAATTGGCAAGCAGATTGTACATTAAGTGTCATATGAAGATGACAATGTACAACCAACAGTAGATGCAGAAAGACATAGGCTAAGCAGGGCTTCTGTGAAGAATAGAGATGTCCTGATATTACAAAAGTATCATTACTGGTATCATGAATACTTTTAAAGTATCAATACTGGCCAGTATTGGTATCAGGTATCGAAACTGAAAATCTTGCCACTGTTAACTCTGCCGCATTGCCTTCCAGTTGTTTTACTGATGAGAAGGTACACTTATCCTTCTTTTTTCCGTATTGCATACATTCCAAAGAATACTATGTAAAAAAATTGCATAAAAAAGTACAGTTTGTGCATCCTGTAGAAAAATGCTCAATAAGATCCATAACTTTGATGGAATGAAAAAATAAGCAATTTACAAAAGAAACACAAACCTTTTTTATTCCAACATCATATAGTATTAACATAATTTGTACATAAATATAGTAAACACAATGTAGCATAGGAAACATAAAATCAACATACGGCATTCTCTGGTGTATATAAAGTACTATATTGTGCTTATAATGAAAAATTAACTCTTGATTTCAACAAAAAAGTAATATTTTTAACAATAACAGAATTTTAACAAAAAGTTAAATTTAAAAATTTTCAAATAAACTGTTTTCCCTATGTAAAAATCAATTGCATAAAAAGAGGATTGGTTGTCTTTTGTCGACTGTGTTATTTCAAAATCGCATAAAATGGATCAAATAAAAAGAGGGATAAGTGTACTGTACTCATTACACATGACAGCCGAGTGAGACCCAGAGCAGCAATTACTATTTTGTTTCTTACTCCAGAGAATTAAATCTGGCTATCTGGATCAGAAGTCAGTGCGTCAGTCAGTACTTCAGTTTACACTCATATAATTTCTTATGTACAAAACAGAAGCCCTGGATCTACAGTCCTGTTAATGGGATCTGTAGGTACTACTTACTAAACATAGAATAGGAGTGAATAAGAAGTCATTGGTAAAAAGGTAAAACACTATCTTTGCACTGAAAGTTCTTTATTATGTTCAAATTTTACAAATATCAGTACAAACAAGTATATACAAATGGTAGCTCATTTTAAACATCACTAATGGTCCAAGTTGATTAACATACAAAAGAACTGCATAATATATAACTAAATATTTATTTATAAATAATGATCTTAATGGAAGATAATGTAAAATCCATTTTGGTTTCTGATTTGGCTGAAAATTCCAGTTTTGAGTAACAGACCAAAAGCATTGAAACCAGTATTGGTATCGGACCAAAAGTATTGAGTACAAAAAGTACTCAGTATCGAAAGAAAGTATTGATATGGTATTGCTATTGGCAGTATCAGAACATCCCTAGTGAAAAATTAGAACTAAAAATTAATTCTAATAAGTCATATGTAATGGTAATTCATAATGACAGTAGACTACCAAAGCATAGGTCCTTTTATATTAAGAAAGAAAAATTAAATTCTTAAGGGTCATGCTAGTTCCTACTCTTATCAGTTGAGAGACAATAAGAATGTGTGTGAAAATCTAATATATTAATCATAAATATGCTTAGATTATTTAGACAAATTGAGAAATCTTATCACTCAATTTAAGATATTTAATTGTATCATCATGAATTCTGTGGGTTCACCAGTTTGTTGTCGACTAAATGCCAAAGGTTATAAATAGTCAAAATAAATTTATTCATAACATGTTATCATTAGAATATACCGGCATTGCTCTCTGACTAAAGTTAAATAGATTCAGATTGTGTTTATTTATGTAAAAAGGATAGTTAATATTCTTTTAGAACAAGAGACAGTGATGTGTTATCAAATTTATTAAAAAATGTTACATCAAAAAATGTAAACTAGCTCTAATTATACAGTAATACCCCAAACTTACGCGATAGGTGGGACCAAGCGATAACCGCGTAAGTCAAATTCGCATAAGTTGGGGTATAATTTCGCAATTTGTGTAAAATCCAAGTCAGATGTATGTAAGCTAATAAATGTTCTCGTTAATCTCATCTTGTCTTTTGATTCGTTCACGGTTACAAGAAATCACCACATAGAGTCTCTCAAGTCTCCGTAGATATAACAAACACAAAATAAATTGTAGCTATGTGTTGATTCCGCGCTACACGTACGAACATGTAAGCTGAACAATAGTGTGGGGGAGAGTGAGTACGTAGAGTTGCATGGCGTTCAAACAAAAGACGAATCGACGAGATTTGAAAATCGCGTAACTTCGGGTTTGCGTAAGTCGGGGTAGCGTAAGTCGAGGTATTACTGTAAATTGCAATAACTGGGTTCAAGTTTCTTGAATTTTGAATACAAATGGATTTTCTATATGGCCATTTATGGAGAAGAATGAAACTAGTGATGCTCTCTGCTCCCAATTGATCCAGAAATTTTTCTGATCAATTGGCACAAATATAGATTAACTTAAAACATTAAAAATCATGAATGATACATTGTTATTTTAGATAATCAACAAATAAACAACTATTTATTTCTTAATTTACTATTTAATATTTAAAAGTTTTTCATATAGTTGAGATTACATAAAAATTTATTATTATTAATAAGACTATATATAATCTGTCTAGTGATAATTGTTAGTCTGTAATAATCATTATTATACAGACAATAATAGAAGTTCTACACTTCATATTTTTTGTTTTTGTAAAGAAACTCATGAATCATGAAACTGGAAAATATCAAAGATGAAAAGCTTTTGTACACACTTTTCCACAGGTCTGAAGTAAAGACAATATTTAATTTGTATACTTATTTTCAAAATTTTATTGTGTGATTAACATTTTCTAACAAAAACTATATGAGAAAATATTGTAACAAAATTGTTCCTAAAATTACAATTGTTAAGTGAATACTTTAATATCAAGGTAACAGAAGATGTTGCTTCTTTTTTATAACCAAATATATAAATAGATAAATGATTCAAAACATCCTGGCTATTTTATTAATAACTGAATATTTTCAAGACTAATGTAGTCTTAATTTTCTGTTTAGAAAAAATATATATATAAAAACTTGTAATGACAATGTTATAACTAATAATTGTCATATAAATATTGCATTATCTCTTGAGTAATGGAAAATTAATTCTTATATAATAAAAGTTGATTGATTGGTTGATTTAATTGTAACTCAAAAGGAAATGAATCATTAACTTTGTCCATTATTATATATTATTCATAAATGCCAATATACAAAGCAAATTTATACAAACTAAAAAATATTATATCAAGAAAGTATTTAAAATGTTCATTGAAAAATTAAATAAATAAAATGAAACATATATATACTATAGATTCTATAGCATATCTGTTTCATTATTAATCTATTAATCTCTGTATTAATCTATAGTATAGATCAGGGGTGTCAAACTGGCAGCCCCCAATGTGATTTTTCGAAGCCAGTGGCCACAATGCTCTGAAAATTAAATAAAACAGCCTACAGATCAAGATTAACTGATAAACATCTATCTGCCATAGTGAAGATTGTTTGTTCTCAGTCTTGGAATTCAGATATTGGAAAACTAGGAAGTGGAAGATAGCGCTGGCAAGTTTCCAGTGAAAACAAATTAATTTTAGTTTTATAAATATGTACGTGCATTAATTAAATAAAATAAATGTTTAAATAAAAGCAATACTATAGCAATTATATATTGGTGAGTTGAATTCACTGAACTACATAACCTGTTTAAATTGCCCTATTCCTGTATACTCGCGTTCTTAAAATTAAAATTGGGAATTTAATTATAATTTTAAGAAAATTTGTAAATGTGATGTGGCCCATGTGAATCTTACTAGTCGCATTAATGGCCTATTGTTTAAATGAGTTTGACACACCTGGTATAGATTAACTATATTAGGCTAAAATGAACAATGATTAATATCATTGACATACTAGGTAATGAAAAAATAAATAACTTAAATAATGTATATAATATTGAGAATTCAAACTGAATAATGTGAAGACAATTTAATTTTTTAAAAAGATTTTCCATTGATATCAATAATTCATAAATAATTTTTGAATATTTTTAATATTTTCAAACTTATTGATTTTTTAATGATTGAAATCATATTATTGATTTTAATCAAAAATCAATAAGTTTTAAATATTAAAAGTATGCAAAAATTATTTATGAATTATTTAACATCAACAGAAAAATAGCTTTAAAAAACTATTTTCAGGCATTATTAAGTTCTAATTCTCAAAATAATAAAAGTAATCCATCTTTGCCTAATGTTTTCAATGACAATTTATCACAATAAAGATAAAATGTANTCTGTTTGTCGCCCCGCGCAACTGCTTGGAGGTTTTTTCTTCGTTACACACGTTCTCTCGCGCGGTCTGTACGACGTTCTTGTTCGAGATCCCCCCTTTTCCTTTTAAGTGAATTTGAAATGTCAGTCTCGCCACTCCGCCCTCCCCGGCCGTAACCGTGCCACAAAAGACCACTTCACTCGGCTCTTTTCTGACTGGTTGACGGTCTGCACATCGCAAACGTTTGCCTTTCCAACGAATCTTCGCCCGTCTTTAATTTCCTGTCATTTGTTTATACTTTGCCGATTATTATCGACAACGTTTCTCGGCCCTCGTTAGATAATGCTTTCTTTTGTTGACGTAAACAAACCCTTCTTTATATTGTTTGCTCCGTCTTCGCGCCACCGCAGTAATTATCGTAATGTATATATGTATGAAGCTCAACTTTTATTTCTTTGAGAATCTCCATTAATCATATCTATCGAGTGTCCTTAGAATATTTAAATTGAAATTTCGAGAAGGACATTTTCCCGTTAAGCTCCGTCGCTCGGAGGTGAAGCCGATTTGCAGGCGCCACCTTATATAAACGTCTTTCTCTAGAAGAAAACTTTGATTAAAGGTGCGACGCTCTTCGTAAGTGGAGCAATGAGTAGAACATTCGATCAGTGTGCTGGATACACTTATTTCTGGATGATTGAGGTCTTTAGTACCCTCCTAAACGCCTTCATTAGCTGAAAGCCTCTCTTTTCCGAGTGATTAAAAGACGAAACTTCTGTTTTCCCCCATCCAAATAGAATGGTAGAAAATTTAAAATATTCATTAAGGATCAATAAAGACGTGTAAAAAGTCAAACGAGAGTCAGAAGCGGCGTTAGTGTTTTTATTTAGACTCATCTTTCAGAGATGTAACGAAGCAGATAACTGCTCTAGCTAACGCTTCGTTATTCTCCCGCTCTCGACTCAAATCGGGGGGTTTTTAATTATAATTTGCAAGCATAATTTGG